TTAGTTTTTTCTCCTCAAACCAGATAGTTCCAAACATCCCTACTCACACACCAGCCCTGCAGCGCTCCCTCCCTGAAATCCCATCACCTTGCTCTGGTGGCAGGTTTAAGCAGAAGGCTCTTAACATATTCTATGGATATAGGCCTGCATATTCTATGGAATAGCTGCTGTTTAGTATTTTTTTCAAGTAAATAATATTTTTTCAAATAAATCATTTTTGTTTCAAATAAAGCAAACTGCATATCAGTAGCTAACATATTTTGTAACACTAGAAATTATATTAAAAGAAGGGGACAAAAAAAATTCACAACAGATTTCTTACAGTCTGCATTACAGCTTTGATTTTATTTTGAAGTGTCAGACTCTGTGTCACTGGAAGCAGACATTCCCTCAGTGGTATCTGTACGCTGCCGACGCAACAGACGTTCAACTTGCCAGGCTCTTTCAGCAGAACTCCATTAAGACAAGAAAGAAGTTTATATTTTTTTATGAAAGCTACAGCAAAACTTAACACGAGGCCTTTAATCAAGCAGCTACGTAATCGTTTAAAAGGAGTTTTACTCCAAACTGGCAGTTTGCAGGATTTGTTTTCATTTTGGCTGCATACAGCGACCCAAGGCATTCTGCTCCTGCCAGACCAAGACACAGCTTGTCAGCAGGATCTGTCACCTCCAGGCTTTCTAGGGCCCTGTCTGGTTAACGCCCAGGGCCGGTGAGAAAGCACCGCAGTAATGCTCTGCCATCCATCGCTTCTCTGCTGGGTGCTCAGCGTCCTCTGACCAATCATCTGACACCCCACCCTACTAACCATCGCCATGACCTATCTTCCAGCCTGCAATCTTGACTGACTTGACTGATCTTTATTCATTTGAGGAAGATGATGATGACAACGCAAATGTCACTATTCGAGGCAGGCAACACTGCTCATATCGAAAGATTTACATGGGGGTCTCCATCCCATCTGTGAAAAGGCAGAGATCTTCCGAATGGTGATCTGCTCTGAAAAGCTGGTCCCCAGAGACCTGCCCTCTCCTCCAGCTGACGATCTTGCTCCTGCTTCTTACTCACAAGTGACATATACACTGCACGTGTTTTTAAACGTGTTTCTTAAATCTCTGCAGTATCTCACAAACACAAACTTTCTTATACGAAAATCGCTTTGCTGTCCATCAAATCACTATCACACCCCTCAGAAATTTGTTCTTCACAGATAATGTGATATGGCTGTGATCTTTCTTCTTTTACAGGTGGGCTTGTCGAGAGGCAGGCAGGCATACCATGTATCTTCTCCTAAATTCAGCAGCAGATCTAGAGTGGGAGTATCCAGAAATCCTTCTAGCTCCCTCTTCCATAGTCTGAACTGTACAAAACATGGCATGAACACTTTGGCAACACTGTCCTTAAAGTTTGTAGGAAAGTATCCCAACACAGTACTGACTTAGGAAAAAAGTGCAAACCAACATTGGATGTATACTGTAGAAGACTTGGATGTAAAGGAGAAATCTGGGAAACACGAATGAGCTAAAAAAGCTTTCAGACCTTATCCCTGCAAGTAGGATGACATGGGAAAATCAGATCAGAGTCTCACTGACTTTGACAGCACCCATCCTGAACCAACATGCACTTCCAAGCAAAGCAGCAACACATTCATCTGCCGTTATTATTTCCCTTCTGTAACTGAAGTATTCTTGCATTTAACCAAGCAATTTCCATTAAGTTTTTCAGTGTTTCGGAATAAGCCTCTGAAGTCCCTGTCTTCCAGTGAAATCTATGAGAACTTCTTGAGCTTCAAGAAAGTTGTTACTATAAAAAACAAAACAAATTTTAGAAAAAACAGCTCAGAAATTGCCTCTGGACAAGAACATCAAATACTGGCACACAAAACCTAATTTTCTTAACGACAGCCTAATGTAAATGATCAATTTCGAGAAAGGTGTATTTTAAAAATAAGGCAGTGCATATAAAGGCAAACATTAGCTCAAGTCTTGCATAACTGATACTGCAATACCCTCTTGTGGTCAAATAAAAATGTTTTGTCTAAACACCTGAACTTTTTCCTCCATAAAAAGCCCCTCTAGACATCTTTTCCTTTGATGGGGGAAATAACTCACATATTTTTCACAGACAAATTTGTAGTGCATATCATCAGTTGTCTGGCAACAACAAAAGACTAACCTCAGTCAAGTTCTTCCTCAGAATGATGGGAACCGACACTGCTTGTCAGATAAACTAATCCCAAAACAAACTCCTAAGCAAAGGTACTGTCTCCTACAGTGACACTCATAACTTTTTTCAAGTTTCGTGTCCCCAGCCAGAAAAAATAAAGATGCTATAATCAATTTACATAGATACATATGGCATGAAGCCACAATAAACATCAACCTATTCTACTACAGGATGAAAAGAAGTACACAGTAAATCAGTCGTACCGATTCAAATGAGCTCCCTGCTTAAATGCCCCGAGTTGTTGTAATGAACAAATAAAATGCTAAACTGGCAGATGGTAATATGAGGGGAAACAGTTCAGTATCTGCAGCGGTTCTGCTGAGCTGTTAATCTAGTAAAAGGCCTAAATGGGCTACTAGTATATCCAGCAAGGAATCTAGAGTGACGCCCAGAAATGTCATCCTTGCACTCACCTTGATGTACTTTAATGGTGTATAACCACGCCCTTAATGACTTCTGGTCCCAACAGAAAATGGAATAATTTTCAAAATATCAGCTCTTACTGATCTGGTTTTGGAACAGCAGCTACACTTTGAAGTCATATTATTATAATATTTTTAAAAACCCAGCTTATTTAAACAGCCATGATCCCATTCCCATCTATTATTTCCAGAGAAATGGCTTGAACACTATGTAGTGTCCAATACCTGCATGTAGACCCATAGCTTACTTTTGTTTAACACCTAAAGAAGTCCTAAACAGTTAAGGCTTCCTTTTTTCCTAAGGTTGTGGGGTCTCAGACCAACAGATGTGTCTTTAACCTATGAGTTCACTTCCAGTAAGTTATTCTGAGAGGCACTTTGTAGCCCTACACCTGCATTAAAAACCAGGGTAGTTACAACTCCTGCATCTTTGCAGACACCACTCAATGGCATAGACTTTAAAAACCTGCTTGTAATCTTTCCATCCAGTTTATTCAGTGGCTACAAGTAGTCATTTGGAAGCTATGTACTCAGCTCAATAGCCATTTTTAGTTTATTATTATGTTTAATTTGCAGAAACTGACTTGAAGGAAGGATTAGAATTAAAATAACACAAGAACTTTGTAAACAAGAATGAAAAAGCATTCCATGCACAGGAACAGACTTCCCAATCAGGATCCTTTCCTGACCTGATCAGGAGCTGAAATCCCATGCACACTGATTAATGCATTGGGTTTTCCAAACATGCCTCACCTTCCTTTTAAAGCAGTTAGATGCTGCTAAAACCCCACTCTCCAACCAGCTGCACACACTCCAACTTGGAGAGGACCCTGGAACAAATGCAGCAGGATAAGCAGATTCCACAAGAGGAACAGAGACAATTATCAGGCCAGGTTGGCAAACAGTTCATTTCTTCAGTTCATGGTGATGCTGTGTGGATACACGGCTTTTTTTGCTTTTTCGCTGAAAGAGATGAAAAACACTGTTTAGGTTTCAACTATCTCAGAAAAATAAGTAAACAAACAAAAAGCCTACTAAAATTTCATTCAAACCCAAAGCAAACATTGTGGTTTGAGGTGGAGTTTACCTCTTCTTAAGTTATGTTATTAACAATCTTCAAAGTCAGAATAATTTTTCCAAATACAGAAGTATTTCTTGCTCAAATACGTCTACGTGAAGTGTTTGGATTGTTGTATAGTTGTAACTATTTTAAAAGAAATTATTTGCCAAATTCAGCATGTATTTCCCGATACTGCAAGCAAATAAGTTTGCCAAAAAACCCCTAAAAAAGTAGATTCAAAGTTCATTAGCATTTACGAGGAAGATGAAGCAAGAGGCTAGAATTCATCTGGAGCTAATCCACACTACTCAAAAACAAGTCAGTCAAGAATTTCAGAGGAAATTTATATTTAAAATAGTCCATTTTCCTGCAAGTTCACAAATACTTGAGGAAGTAACTTCATACCACAAAAGCCCAACAGTCTGACTGTAAAGACAAACACTGACATTTTGGACACTGTTTGGAAAATTCTCACTCTGTATACTAATAACCCTTTAAAATTACTTAAAAACTACTTCTCATAGTTGCTTAATACCTTCTGCAGAAATCTCTAAGTACTTAAAAAGGACTTTTGATGATCTCTGGCTGCTCTTTTTTTAAAAATATGAAAATAAGGAGTTTTCAAAGCACAGATTCATTGAAATACCTTATTTTAAACAAACAAGCTCTGCCCCAAATAGAGTTCAAGGCCCCAGCAGCTGTCCCACTGGGTCTCTGCTCCCTTTCTGGTGAATATTCACAAGTCAGGCTTGTTTCCAATAGATACAGTAAACACACCAGGGAAACCAGCAGCTTTCAGGAGATTTTGCTTCTGCTACATAACCACAACAAAAGTCATCCTGACATACTCAGCAGCAATCTCCACAGCACCCTTTGCTGCTAAACCAGACTTTATTGTTCTGAGGATTTTTAATAGAGGGTGGTCTCAGCTGCAAGCAGCAGTAATCACCTCATAAGCTGAGAGTTTGCTGGTTACAGCTGGAGAACTGATGGCTTTCAGTAACAGTCATTTCGTACAAAATTGCCGTTACCATGAAAACTCCTTCAGCATTCAAGCAACGAAGCCACATAAAGCAGTAAGAAATGAGCATTAAATAACAGGGAAGTAAAACAGTGCCGAGGACTGCCTGTCAGTGCTGCCGTGTACGTTCATTTTCTGAAAGCACTCCAGATCAGCAGCTAAAAGAAAACATTAGGAGAGAAGGAGCTTTGAAAGTGCAAACAGTAGCAGGTTTAACTTTTCTAACTGTCACAATATACCTAACAATACTGGGGATACAGTGAGTCTCAAAATGGACAAGTTGGGAAAGGGTTCTGGATTCAGGAGAAATAACTTGGTTAGGTCTTGGCAACCAGCAACCACACCTCTGGGACAACCAGCCTCAGCTCCATCTGCGTCTCTCGGCAGCAGCCAACCCAGAAGACCTGTCGCTGCACAGCCGGCTACTCGGGCCTGGGCAGATGAGCAGGCAGCACTGCAGCAGGACCAGGTTCAACAGGATAAGATCTGGAGAGAGTCTGTGGAGGCTGAACAGAGAGGAAGAAAAATCTGGTAAGTCACTTGTTCCAGTTCGTGCCTCTTCTACTCATCTTGACAACGGTACTGATGCTCCCTGACAGTCTTAGGGCTTGATCCAAAGCCTACACTATCAAAGGAAATTTTCTTCTGCAGGGACTTTGGATCAGACCCTAACACCTTTCTTTCTAAGATTGTATTATCTCTGTTTTCTTTCACTGGACAAAATCTATGCTAATATCTCCTGGCATGCTGGGCTTAAGCTTTAACAAGAGATGCAAAGAATTGCATGCTAAGTATCTCTCAGCTTTATAGAGATTTCCACAATGAAGATATAAATGTGCCAACCTTTATAATTTATTGCAGACACATTGATATTATCACCTCTTCTCATATTCTTGGAAATGGCTGAAATGGAAGCTGAACAGAGTGTTCTGCCAAAATATGATTTTGTATTCCCAATCTGCAAATCCGCTGAACATGCCCCATTGTTACAGTGTTTCAGCAGACTGAACTGCACACATACAACCTAAGCTTTGACTGTGTATACACCACTGACCTGAAGGAACCCAAAACTAACATCCTCTCTGTCTCTGCCACGTATCTTGAGTAAGTGCTTACGTTCATACTTCAGAACACAGCATGAGCAAGCCTATTAGAAGAATATCCTTGGTAGAAGTAAAATCAGATCCAGTTTCGACTGTGCACTATCCAAGCTAAAGAGAGGAAAAAGAACATCACTCTCAGGATTTTTTAGAATGGGAAAAGAAATCAACTGAAAACCTCTGTCCTCCTCAGCCTTCTGGAGGAGATACAATCGCAGCTCTGATTTCCCCAGAGGCGCATTTGCACTCGTCGGGCTCGTTTTACCCGAGAGAAAGGCTGACGCCAGGACTCTGATTCATGCAAAGCCAAGGCCGTGGTGGCAATGTTACTCTGTCCCAGTTGTGCACTCAGACTCTTCCCAAACGGGCCCAGCATGTTCCATGCCCATTCCCTAGCTAAGGCAGCAGGAGGGACTATCTGTGCAGGCCCCCTGGGGTTCACAGTCGTGGATATTGGTGCAAACTTACTTTCATGGGTAAGTAAAGTAACACATCATACAGCTGATGCTTGACCTGCTCTCTAGTCTTAGCTACGAAGACAGAAACTCTTGTAAAAGGGTAGGACAGACATGTGAAGGACAGATGCCGAAAGCTGGGTTCATCAGACTACATATGTTATGGCCTGCAGAGAACTGTCCTTCAGCTCCACATCCCCATCCCAAAAACAATGATGGGGAAAGGCTGCTACATGTTGGTGGTCTGACTTGAAGTGGATACAGGTAAATGTCTGAGACCCAAGCATTTCTCAGTAATTAGCACCGTCCAGTAACACCCAAATCTGGTATGTTCAAATAGTGGCTAGCATAGCAAGATAAAAAATTTTAGGACCTCTGTGCTGTGCTGGTATACCAAGACACATAGTGATAAACACAACAATCATAAATTAGCTTTTACTTGCACCTAGGGTACATATGCACGGGGGAGTGCAGCACAGAAATCCAATGCTCCTAGCTCCACATGGTACATGGCTGTGCTTTACAGACGAGCTCAACTCAGAAGGATGTACAGCTTCAGCACTACATCAATAAGCCTAGATGCAGCACTGCATAGACACAGCTCAGAGAGTCAACCCAGGCGTCCCTTGAGCCCTGCTGCAAATACAGCTGTAGATAACTGTTTCCTCTATTGACCTCACAGTACTTTTACAATAGCAGGTGAACTTTCATTTTCTCCATTTCAGGCCAGGGAAAGCAAAGGACAGAAAATCAAAGGACTTGCCTTGTAGTCCCACACCGGGTATAGAACAGAGCTGAAGAGCAAAACTCAGGTCTTCTGACTCAGCACAGCTGTCTATCTGCACAAAATACTCCCATGGGTGTTCACCTGCAGCAAATATGGCTCTGGGAATTCCTACCAGGGACTTCTGCCAGCAGAATATCGGTCATTTAAAAAATAAGAAGCTGTGTCTTGCTCAAGGCATGGGACAAAAGTTTGCTAGAGTGACTCAGGACTTTGCTAATTTATCTGCATTTGCACAAAGAATACACTGTGGACATGCTATCCTCATCCTCATCTTCCTTTAGCAAAAAAACTCTAATCCTCATGTAGTATGGGCTTCATATCGGAATAAAGAAAACGCTGGGCTTCACCACAGAAAAGACAGTTTTCAGTACAAAGAGTTTGCAGGTGTAAGAGCTGGGCTCTAAGTATCAAATTGAGCAGTTAAACAGGCATTCAAATATGACCATTATTTTATTTAAAGACAGAAAATTTGACACTGCATTTTTTACTTCTATTCCAAGGTACCAGAACTGGAGTTTCCTAAAGGACTATGACCAAATGGTAAGTTTCGAACAGACTTTCAGCTGTAATCCAGGCTCTTTTTAGTTTTCATCAATTTGAGCTAAGCTAATATTTCAAATTGAAGCATACTTAGGCATAATCGGCAAATGCTTCAAGACCAAAATCTTTAGGAAAAATAAAAGAGAACTGCTACCTACACCACAAAGAAATACTGTACATGTGTGTGTTCGACCTCTTTCAATATTAACAACTCCCTAGAAAGACAAGTGCTAGAAGAACCAACTTCCTAGGAGAAAATTTGTAAGATAATGTCATCATGCTGAAACCCAAGCCACTTACTAAAAACGAAACAAAAAACCTCCTACATCATGACCATTCTAGAGCAGGCTAACTTCTGTCCCAGCTGACATTTTATTCAACACATTTGAAAATGATTCATTTTCCTGTGTTATCCTATTCCCATGCAAGATGACAGGAAAAAAAAAATGTTTTATTTCTTCAACACTTTCATGTACATTCAGTATGACATTTTAAAGTACATTCAAAGTCTAATTTCGAAAGCGAAGTGCTGATATTATAAATAATCTCAGTAACTTGTATTTTTGTAACAAGCAACAGACGTAATTCTGAAAACTTATTAATGGTCTTTGTTTTATCCAGGGTAAGAAAAAGGAGCAGAAGCCACTGCCAAACTATATGCCTGTGTTCTCAAACAAAGTTCCCAACTCGACCAACCAGACTATTGGCAGTCGAATGAATACTGAGCTTGGCAGGGTTCTGGTAAACACAGATTACTTCTTCAGCAGTGGAGCACGAAAAAGGAAACTTGAGGGTGAGCTCCAGCTTTCCTAGTGCTTCAGTAAAAATGTAACGGTAACAAAACAAGTTGAATGGTTCTAGCCAACAGACTCCACAGCATGTAAGAAATTCCTCAATCTTTTTCTCAGAGAGACCAATACTGCTGTCTAGCATGGATTTTCTTTCAAGAGCAAAGATGGACGTTGTCCAACAATGCCGCAGGAGACAATCCTCTGTATTTGGGGTGACTTGGCCATATACAGAGAGTTAACACTACAGATCTCATCCATCTTCGCATGCAAGTCTACAGTAAGGTTGCCACTAACATCAGAAAGAACAAGATTACAGCCAAAAGGCAATTTCTTCCTGAATTTTTATCTCCTGAAAATAAACAATTAATGGAGATCTGCTCACATGAGCCCCAACATAAACAACATACTTTCAGTTCGGAAAGTCAGAGCAATAAAACACAGCAGCTTGTTGCATTTCATGTAGTTAGCCAAGGATTCATCAGCCTCTGTCATCTGCATGTTTAAGCTTGCTCTGAAGAATAAAATTTAAGGCACGTGAGACATGTTCTGTGCTTTTTCACCCCTCCCTGCTAAGGGAAGGAGACCAAATGTTTTTCACACTAGTTTTCATTTTTCTTTCTTGAGATTTGCTGCTCTCAAATTCCCTTCTCTTACTCTTTTTTTCTGGTTTAGCTGATGGAAACTCATTGACAAGGAAGCAGGCTTTCACATTTTGCTCTGAAGGTGTGTTGGCTCAGCAACCTGTCTTACACTCTTAGGATCATCAACCTTGAATTTAACAGGTTCATAGTTCCTAAAATCTGTGGTTGCCCAGGAAAACGATCATCAAGCTAAACTGACACAATACCTAAAGCCTGTTCTCTAGTGCATCTTCATTACATAGATGCAAACTTTGTCTATGAGCTGTTGTTCTCTAGGGAAAAAGCAGTAATCAGCAGAGCATGGAGAGTATATACACAGTATCTGCCTTCTGAACTGCATGTAGCTTCTCTAGGACCATGCTCAGTCCTAGGTGGGGATCAACATAGAAGCCATTAGCATTGCCTTGATACAACAGGCTGCAATCTCTCACCAGACTGAGGTGGAGATGTGTATACTTATGCTTTGCAACTAAGGCTAGTTGTTTTTATGATTAGACTTCAGCAGCAGAAGGCAGTTCAAAAGCACAAGAGGTGGTATGAAACAGTGTGATCACTGTCAACTTCCAAATGGTCTCTGGAAAAAAACCCAAAAGACACTGTAGAATAGAAGGGCCAAATCCCACTCACTGAAGTCACGGCACCAAGCAGTTCTCCTCCTGGCTTCCTCGATGCAGCAAGAACTGGAGGATTAAGGCTTTCAAGATGACAGCTAAGCTACCTAGAGAAGAAGGAAGACGACATCATGCAACCAGCCCAGGTGAGGAAGACTGATTCCACTCCGTGCAGACATGAATTGTGGTGGACAACTGTGTTCAGACACACCAAATGGGAACCTACTCTAAAAAAGACTTCTTCTTGTTCAGCTAAAATGCTTTCTGCTCTCTCCTGTGAGCAGAAAACTGCACCAGGAACCGGTTTACCTTCAAACATCTGAAAGAGGGAGAGGAGAGAGCAGATCAAGCCTTTCCTTGTCCCTGTGTTGTCCAGAGCTTCTTCCAAAACCCACACAGGCCACTCAGAGGCTACATATTTATTGGTGATTGCATAATACTGAAAAGTCATTACACTTGCGTGCCTTACTCTGAGACATACTGAGCAGCCTCAACTCTTGCTATGGGTCACAAACTCTGTACCAAGTGGCAGGTGTCCAGTATCTGTCAGGCTCAAGCTCCTATTCATGTAAGAACATTTCATTTATAAAGCATGGGGATTTTGTTTTTCAGCATGAAGGCATACAGAGCTCCATGTTTCCCAACCTCCAGATGGCAGTCACTCCAAACTAAGTAATCCACTGAAAAGGACACTAAGTTATAGCAAGGCAGAGTTAGAAAATTCCTTTTAGATCTCAAGGGACATCATTAAATAATTCCAGATTCTTGACTCGGTTTACTGTGTGTCAATCCAGAGAATCCCTCTCCCAGAGAGTTCCTGCAAACTGAAGGGTACAGGAACCTGATGGTCTAAGCAGTGCATGATTTAATCCTTCCATTTCACTTAGCACTGGCGTTGTTTCAGCTGCAGCTCTTCTCCCAGTTTTGGACAAGACCTTCCATGTCTTACCCTGAAGATGTGGGCCACTAAGCAGAGTCTAGAGAAGCAATGATGGTAACTGGAGTACTGGAAGATACGGCTTATGCCGAAAGATTAAAAAGACTGTTAAAGTTTAAGCTGGAGAAGAAAAAGCAGTCTGGGAAGAGGATAGCAGTCTTTAGATACATGTATAGCTCTGGAATGAGAAAAGGAATCATTTGTACTTCACGTGAGTGGCAGACAATAGTAAAAATAATAGGCTTAAATTATAGCAAGGAAGAATCATGTTAACTTTTTGGGAAGCTAGTGGTAAGGCTAATACAGCACTGGAATAGATTCTCCGAGGAATCTCCACCTTTGAAGGTTAAACACACACATCCATCAAGAATGATGTATTTAGTAGGGTTTCTCTTTTAGTGTATAAATTGAATGACCGTCTGAAGAGCTTTTCACCAATTCTCTGATCTATACCAGAGTTGTTGGGATGAGAACATACTTTGCAGACATGATTTTTCAAACACATTCAAAAAGAATAAAAAAAAATCCTATTTCAATTACACCAGGTTTAAATAGATTGCACCTCTAAAATAGAGATTAATCACCTAATTTTTTCGATAAAAAATATACTTCTAATTCTTCTAACTAGTCATACACAAAATGCTTTTCACAAAGTCTAGATGTGCCTCTTTTCATCACACGCATCTGAGAGGCTTGACTAGTGCCCTCCTGACAGCCACATAAGAACACAGCTCAAAGAGCACACTCATGTCATTATGTCACATGTATGAATGGCGATAACTATTTTTCTTTCAACAATTTCAAGCCTTTACTAATGAAATGTAGTCCTGATTGTGTCCTTAATCAGATAAAGCACCCGTTGAGATGCCAGGTGGTTCCTGCAGTGGGTACTTGCAGTGATTACATGCATACAGCACAGTAAGACCCTTATACAACCCTGCACTCCTCCTCAGCTGTACTATGCACAGGTCACTTCAGTCCAATAGATCACAACAGGAAAGACTGCAGGTACGCCCAAGTGGAGCTAAAATATGCAAGGATTTTTGGTTTATTCATCAAAGTGTGCAACCTTGGAAAATGTAGCTTTGTGCCTTGTTCCAAGATCACAGCAACCCACAACTGTACTGCCTCTTTTGATGTGGAATTAAGTTAACACATTGACTTTCTGATTAAGCTAATTGAAATGACTCTAAAGTACTGGTGGGAGTAGCTCTCTTCACCCCCAAAACTCCAGTTCATTCCTATTTCCTGTTGAAATCGATAGCAACTCTTAAGCACCTGACATCTTAATGACTATCTCTAAGGGGAAAGTGACTGTTTAGAGAACAAAAGTTTCCCATGTGGACTAGATCTGATAATCCATGTGATATGGGAACATTGTGTTGAACTGGACACCTTATTTTGTTCAATTATTACACTCTCCTTGGAAATGTAAATTATTTTATGCTGCTGCAGTTAGCCCTCCTCTGGTACCCAGTGTTACGTTTCTGAAGTTAGTTTGGATCTCTCTGTCACATACAGCAACCTCCAGAAAAGAACTTTTGGGAATATCCAAGGTCCTAATTAAAACTGCCTTAGCATCTGCGAGTAGAAGGCAGCAAACAGATATTCTCTAGACACCATTTTCATCCCAAGTTTAACAATCATTTTTCTTTTACCATAATTAACTTTGCCACTAATCCTTATAAGCAGAGTCCCTTAGAAAGACTGGATGAGATGATAACAGCATTGAAATCTGTATATAATCAGTGGAAATTCCATTTATTAAAGAGATTATGTAGATATTAAACGGTGTCGTAAGCTTCTTGTAAAGAGTTCTTATGATGTATCACTTGTGCTTCAGTTTTGTAAGCTTTTTTCCCTTTTGCTGCCAGATCTCAAACGAGATTATACATGTTCAGACAATTCATTTTCTATATTTCTCTCAGTTAAACAGCACAAGTGGGTAGCTATATTAATTTAATTCTTCAGTTAGATACACTGCTTTCTCTGGTAGGTTTTTGAGGATTGTTAATATTAATTGTAACTTGGTGCATAGATGTTTCCAGTGCCTCCAAATTTTGTGTGTTCTCATTTTGAGTTCCGCTTATAATAGAAAAGTGTGAAATATATTTTTTAACAAAACATAACGTATGTAAGTTCATATAAATCTGTATTTCTCATACTTTTAGAATAGTCTTCGTACATAGTTCCCAGCTGGCATCTTAAATATGAAGTTTTGTTTTATAAGATCAGTGACAGCTGTAAATCCAATTGTGTTTCTTAGAAACTGTATTTAAAACTGTTTATTGACCTTTAAATTACTCTAAAATAAAAATAACTAAATGGGTTTTCCTACAAAAAGGTTTCATCACGCTGTGAAAATTACTGCATAAACAGTAAGATTCCTAGAAAAGGAAAGGGAGAGGATAATTATGTATGAACATTAGATGGACAATACTGCCAGTCCAGGCATCATATGTTTGTATGTATTATGTACATACACATTCACATTGTTTGCTTTCTATAAAGAACACTCTATAGAATAAAATTTCTGAATTGAAGTTCGTCTTAAAGCAGACAATAAGTTTTCTGAAGTGGGGTATTTTTTGGTTTGTTGGTTTTAGAAATCAACAATAATTTGTTAGGGCCTCAAGCTGCTTTTCCTAAATCCTGTCCAGACAGAAACCAGTAAACCTTTCCTACAGTAGGACGCCTCTCTTAAAAACTCTACTCGCTACTCTGAATTCATGTCAGGTACGGTTTTCCCTCTTCAGAAAACTTCACGTTTGCTTGGATGAATTCCTTGAAACACAGATGCTTCTCCAAGAAACTCAGAAGTTCTGCCAAAGGCTGAAGAGGCGCTTGCACAGTTCCATCAATCACAGCCCTGCCCACAGACCTCTTCTGTCAGAGGGCACAGATGCCGTAGACTGCCTTCGGCTTGTAACCTTCCCAAAACCTCTCTCAGAAGCTGTATGTATCCACAAAACCACCAGTACTTAGAAATGGAACTTCCAAGTATCTGGGGTTACAGCCTCACCTCAGCACTACACCTTTATGCCAGGTTGACGGAGCAAAACTGCTGCAAATGTCTCTTAACTGTCTCTTATCCCAGGGAATGCCAAGAGGAAACTCTCAGTTGGCATATACTGATCAATAAATTGCATTAAGAAGTAATCTGCAAATATACAGGCACAATAGCTATAGAAATGATGAGATTTGGTTTCATTCTATGACTTTGACCTGATCACTTCAAACTCTGTGTCTATTTTCCCCATTTATTAATGACCAATTATCATCACTGGATAGATTTTACATAATCTGTGAATGTCCTGGTTTCGGCAGGGATAGAGTTAATTTCCTTCCTAGTAGCTGGTACAGTGCTGTGTTTTGGATTTAGGATGGGAACAAAGTTGATAACACACCGATGTTTTAGTTGTTGCTAGGTAATGCTTACACTAGCCAAGGACTTTCTAGTTTTCCATGCTCTACCGACTGAGAAGGCTGGAGGTGCACAAGAAGCTGGGAGGGGGCACAGCCAGGACAGCTGACCCCAACTGGCCACAGGGACATTCCATACCATGTGACGTCACGCTCAGTACATAAACTGGGGAAAGCTGGCCGGGGGGGGCCGCTGCTCGGGGACTGGCTGGGCATCGGTCGGCGGGTGGTGAGCAATTGTACTGTGCATCACTTGCTTTGTGTATTATTATTATTATCATATTATTATCATTATCATTTTATTTCAATTATTAAACTGTTTTTATCTTAACCCATGAGTTTTTCTCACTTGTGCTTTTCCAATTCTCTCCCCCATCCCACCGGGGGGCGGGGGGAGTGAACGAGCAGCTGCGTGGTGCTTAGTTGCCAACTGAGGTTAAACCACGACAGTGAATTAACAAATGTATTCAAGCAGTAACTCCTACTTCAACTACAGGTATTGCTGCGAAAGAGCAACCAAACCAGCCATGTAGCGTAGAACCATCTGCAACTATCACAATGCTTATTAGCAGTTAAATTATTGTCTCTCTTAAAAGCTAAATGGACTGAAAACACAATGTTTATATAAACTCTTCTATAGTAAAACTTAACAAAATGCTGACACATTGCTAGCACCATATTACCATAGGGCTACTCAATTGCTTTTTCACTGAAAAACATAAAAGCCACAGGGCAAAACCAGCGCAGAGCGCTGTTTCAGATCTGGTGAGCTGACCATGTTCTTTGCTGGAGCAAGCATGATTATACTGTAGCTGCTCCTCAGTGCTGGCAGATCCATTTGCACACTCTGGGAGAATCACAAGACTTCTAGCAAGAACGCAAGAGGCATCACATACCAGGACCTTAGTAAGGGCTGCCACAACGTACGCACACTCTCAACTCTTACTGGAGCCCCTTATTTGAGTAATCCAGATGTAAGCATGGATCTAGAACAATGCCAGTTCCAGATCCAAATGCTACAGCTCAACCCCCTCTCTGGGCTACAAGCTCAATGTAGATTTTCTACGCAAAAGAGACAATTCCAAATTTAATATGGAAATCAATTTAAGGAGTCCCAGCACAAACTAGTTAATAGATTTTCCCTCTCTTCCTCCCAGTTCTTTGGCTTTCTTAGGTTTTAGGTTAGGTTTTTAAGTGGAGAGGGCAGTTTTGGTATTCTAGGCTCTTTCAGTACTATTTTTAAGCTAACTGTATTATTTTAGATAACATGCCATCACCCAGGATGGCCTTCAGGCCTTCAGTTAACTGAACAACCCATTTCACAGAGCAAACACTGAGCCAACAGGGTTTGGGGTTTTTTTTGCTTACAGAACTTCCACTCAATTTGTGATGCTTCTATCCAGCCTAACCTCAAGTAAGCCTTATATAAATACAGCCATGTTTTCAGTTTGCCACAAATATATATAACATACTGCACCCAAAACCAATTAACTACATGCAACATCCAATGTTTCTTTTATACTCCAATCACACACACTTGTACAACATAACCTCAAACATGAAATACACAAGGATCCACTGTAGTTCTTTAGTAAGAGGAGGTTCTTCAAATCAGAGTTGAAACACTGTCATTCTGCCACCGAGGACTCTCTCAGCCCAGAGATAACCTCCTTCCTCATGGTGAGCTTTTGTGACAACTCTGCATCAGTCTTACTACTCAAGTCAATAGTAAAACTCCCAGCCCTCGGGCACTACAAAAGTGTTCAGCAAATACAACCAAATAGGAAG